CATGGGCAGGCTGCATTGCACTGCAGCACCTCTTGGAGGGCAGAAGGAAGCTGAGATTGCTTCTCCCCAAATGTTAAAGAAGTAACAGGAGTGGAAACTGAAGATACAGGAAAAAACTGTGGAATATGTAAGGAGAAAAGGGGATGTGTAGATATGGTGTGATGATTTTTTTTTTTTTTCTCTTTCCCTCCCATTGCTTAAGGCTAGTATTTGGTTGCCCAGTGAACTATAACAAGATTTAATAGCTCCAGTGTAGCTATATTGCATGTGGACTGATTCCATCCTTCTGTTGTAATAAACATCTGCTTTACAGTGAGCTCTTAAATTCTATAAGTGACGTCATATTGTATCTAATAATGGAAAAAAGATTAAGTACAGCAAATGCAACTCGCTCGCTCCGTGCCTTCCTTTTTGAGCAGCGCTGTCCCCAGCCCCTTGCCCTGCTATCTGCATTTGAGATCTCTCGGTGAGCCTGCCCTGAGGTTTGCACAAGAGGAAAGCTGTTTTTCAGGGATGTTGCATTTTTCTTCCTCTTCATTTGATTTCATTTACCCCCCCTTCCCTGTCATCCTGCCTGCAGCCAGGGCTGTGGGTGCTCCCCAGCTCTGTGCTGCAGCTGCGTTTGGGGAGGTGCTCATTCACTGCCAGGCATGCTCTAAGCTTGAGTGTGTAAGCACTGCATAAGGACTTCTGCTTAAAAAAAGATGTGACAGCTGAGACGTGTGATTAAGATGAATGATTAGAAAGAACATTACTTACTGCTACCGTATCCCTTAATCAGTAATAGCGTGAACTTTGAAGGAACTTTAACTTTTAATTTATTTTTTTCAAGGCCTGATGAATTTTTAAATCTGCTTAGCTGTCAGTCAGCAGGTATGACCGGAGTACTAAGCCTGAGCACTGCAGATTATGAAAAGCCATCTCATTCAGTTTTATATATTGCACATGTGCATGTGTGTGTGAGTGCAGTGGTGAATGTTATGCAAGTGATGCTAGCCCCAAAACAGAAATGTTGGGGTATTTTTTTTTAACCTTTAGGCAAAGAGGTGCCTGAAAGAGGGGTGATGTGATCAAAGTTAGCTAAGGGTCAGTGTAGCAGTGATACTCTGCTGAGTGAGGCTGCTTCTGGGCCAGAAGGAGGGTGCCGCATTAATCAAGGTGTGAGAGTTGAGGCTGCCTTGAAAAAATGCTGACTTATGTCCTAGGAACCTGATGTTTCTGCTGCTGCTTCTAATGGCATCAATAAATCAGAGCACAGTGTGGACGCAGTGCTTCCTGCCCTGGGTGCTGGGCTCTCTATCAGGGTGTTTGCAGGAGTTGAGGCTGCCCAGGTGGAATCAGTGCTGACATCTCTCCAATGCCACTTTGCCCAAGGAGCCTTCTGCTTGGGGTGTTCAAGAGATGTAGAAAACCTAAAGGAAGCCTTTAGGAAGGTGGATGATATCATCAGGTAATACCTTTGCTCCTTGTTTTGCCACTGTGTTTGGCTGCATTTTGTCAGTGTTAATTGTATTTCACTTCTCAGAGTTGTGAAAATACTCAGCTGCTGAATGCAAGGCAGAGCCTGATGGAGTCCTGGGGCCGCGACCTGCCTCTGCCATGACTCTGCCTGACCCTCTGTGGTGACTTTTTTCCTCAGGGGAGTCCTTAAACTTTATCATAATGTAAAATGAGCTTCCTATGCAAGGCTCTGTGCTTCTAGGACTTTATTTCTTCCCTGTGGAGCACAGGGACCAGCAGCCCTGGCACAGTGCATGTTGCGACCGTGCAAAGGAGCCAGGAGTTTGCTTTAATACTCAATTCCTGTACTCCTCAGGGTCAGTCTGTCAGTCTGGCTGGGGTTTGGCCTCCTATTTAAATACCCTTCACACACTAAATCTTATTCCTTAATTACAAGCTGTCAGTTGTCATCAGCCCTTTGCTCCTTCATCTACTAATGGTGAGACTGGCCCTCACCTCCTGCAGTGACTGCTGGACACTGCATGCCTTTAGCTGAGCTGAGAGATTTCCGTGCTCAGCTGCTGCAGATCTTGATGGCTCCCTCCTTAAAGAAGAGCACTTCCTTAAGAGGTTGGACATGGTTATGAGAGAAGCTGTTAAAACCAGAGATAAATACAATGCACCACACCTTAGCCTTCAGCCACAGCCTGAAACAATAGCTCACAGGTGGACCTGACTCATCTCGGCAGGATATTGACTCTGCAGCATAATTATACTTCGAAAGCCTGATTCTAAAACAATTGTGTATGGTTGTGTGCCTGGCTCTCGCAGTTACTACAGCTCTGCATATAAATTGAATAACAGCCTGCACCAGTGTGCCCCTTAGCCATGGCAGAAACAGCAGCAGGCACAGCAGTGTCCTGCATCACCATGCAAAGCCCATGGGCTGCCGCCAGACCTGTGGGGCTTTGGCAGACCCCTGGGACACCCAGTGTGGTGCTGGGTATTTATCTTGTTCCACCTGGTTCCTCTGCTTGGGTAAAAGCTAGGGCAGATGTTTTGCAGCTCATCACTTGGCGGTGATGAGTTAATGGTTGATCTTGATCTTAGTGGTCTTTTCCAGCCTTTATGACTCTATGAAATGTGGTTCTTGCTGTTGGCCAGTGTGCTTCAAGGGCTGCTCTCTCTCTATCTGGTGTTTGGGGCTGGTTGCAGGAGATCCAGTGATCATTTTTCAGGAGTTTTGGGCCATTTTTGGCCTTTTCTCAGCGACCTGCTGCCCTATGGGGAGCTGCAGGCTGAAGCAGAACCTGGGCTTTGAGCACTGAACACAGGAAAACAGGAATGTGGAGGGAACTCTACAAAGAAGCCTCAGCTATTGGTGGCTGCTGCGTCTGTTTCGGGCCAACACTGCTGGGATTTTAGTCTGTAATAAAATAGTCTCTGTTGTGTCTTGGCCATCTGAATTATTACCTCTCTGGCACTTCATTATAAACACATTTTTTCCTCCTTGGTACTGGTTTCCTGCCATTTTATTGCTTTTAAGGTTCTATTTTTGTTTTATTCATCTCTTCCAATCGATAGGAAATATCCTGTTCTTAGCAAGCAGCAGAGGCAGACATGAGTGATGTCCTTAGGGGAAAGCAGAATCACTTTCAGAGCTTTTTTTGGGGGGGAGAAGCTTCTAAACCCAGTTTTCAAAGTCTCTGAAGTTTAAAAAGCCACTGCAGACATTGCTTTATCTTCCACTGCCATTAGCTCCAGGAGTTGGTATCCCATCATTGCACCAGTGCAGATCTGGGATGGTGTTTTAAGATCCATCATATGGTAATTATTGTTGTTCTTTGCCATGACGCTAATTAAAAACACCTAATGAGATTATCCCCACCTGTTCTCTAGGATTAACTTGATGGAGGAAATCCTGCACGTGAGTGTGGACGTGCAGCCTCCTGCATGGCAGCGTCGGGAGGAAGGGCAGCCGCTCCAAAATTACTTTCTACAGGGTTTGCATGGCAAAGATGTATCATTATTTTTTATTATTTTTATTATTTCCTCCCTGCACACAATACATACACACAGATTACTCTGACAGCAATAAAATGAAACAGAGAATTGAATTTGAAAATAAATTGTTGAGATGATGCAGCAGCAGACAGATAGCTTCTTCCAGAAGAGTTGGTCCAGGATGGATGGGGCTTTGTAGCCAAATCAGAACACAGCAATCAAACAGCAGCAAGCTATTGACAGAGTTGTCAAAGCTGGGATGCCAAGGTCTGTGCCCCCAGGTGAGCTCAGCACCAGGCCAGGTAAGGCAGAAAGAGAGGTTGGAGCCAATCCCAAGTCAGTAGACCGGGGCTAAAGTAGTGAATGTTGTCCCTGGTTGCTGTGAACACAGGCATTGGGTTTTCATCTCTCTAAGCCTCGTGAGAAGCCAGTGAAGAGATGTACAAATAGTGAAAGGCATGGATAGTGGTGGGAGTTCCTGGTTCCCAAGCTGTACTTCAATCCATCACTTTATTGTTGGACCTTTTCCTCAACTGCAGGGTTTGGGGCTGCATCTGCTGCAGTATTGCAGTATCTGTATCTGGAGACTTTCAGTAGGCAGAAAGGTGATGTCTGGTGATGAAAAGGATCCAGGCGAGTGCTTCACATGCTGGCAGAGTGGCCATCAAGTCCTGCTGAGGCTGCATTGCCACTTTTTCCTCAGTCTTAGTTTCCCTCCCCTCCCTTATGTTATTTTCCTGCCTTTATCTACATCTAATGGGGATATCTTAAGGGTATTTGAAAAGTTACTGCTTTGACCCTTGGTGTGGTAAATGCTCTACTCCCTATGTTCTTAAGCAGTAATTTTATTGCCTCAAGGCTGGGTATGGTAGGATTTTTTTTTTGTTGCTCTTTGATCTTTGGCTGTATTCTTAAGCAGCAGTGTAAAAACAAGTCTGGCATTGACATCAATGACAAGAGAATTTTGCCTATAGATTACTTGGAAGTGAAAGAGAATGGATCCTACCAAGATGGTATTTCTGAATTGAAATGGGAGGAACAATGCATTTTGGCCATCCTCACTGTTAGGATCCAGATGACGCTCTCAGTCACAGTGTTTCTGAGGGCTGAAGATGTCTAATTACTGCCTTTTCTTGCAGCTGAATGAACGTGAGAGGGTAAAACTGATACCTTTGATTAGATCCATCTCTGGTGTGTTGCTGACACTGGAGAGGTACATTATTGTCTAGCAATGAAAGATCTGCCTGTTCATTTTGAGCTTTTGTCACATCTCTCCTATGGAGATGCTGTTGCATAGGATGGCCTGATTGATACAGTGGCAAAGATCAGGAGGGTAATAGCTTTGATGGCATCCTATGAAATAGATCAAAATTTCCCTGAAAGATTCTGTTCAATTTGATATTAAGGGTCTGGTAACACTCCAGGGATTCTTGTCTTTGCTATTAGGCTTATTGCTATTATAAAAATTAATGTTTGGGCTTTTTTTTTTTCCTGACAGGATATTCTCCAGCATGAATGGAAAATAACTGCTGCTTCTCTCTCGCACTCTTTTTCAGGGATCCTCAATGCATTTCCTTGCCATTATTTAAGGAGCCTTTACTAAAAGCTTCTGGATTGTGTTTCTAAGTGGACAAAAGATTTTGTATTCAAAATGCTTATAAAGGAGTATCGTATTCCTCTTCCGATGAGCGTGGAAGAATATCGAATTGCACAGCTCTACATGATACAGGTCAGTCATGTTTCACTTGGGATCTTTGGGCACTGGGCTTCATTTGGAAGAGTGGAGAATTGCTGCAGAAGAAAATATTTCAAATGTGAGGTTTTCTGCGTGCTTATAAAGAAGTGGGGGAGAAAAGGAATATAAACTCCAGTTACACAGCCCTGAAGATCTGTCTCTTTTGTCCTTAAAACACAAAATGTCTGACTGACCTACCTGGCAAAATAGTGGCTAATGATCAGGCTATTGCAAAGGAGGAAAGCACTGAGCCATAGGGCGTGAGTACCTGACTGGAAGGGCTGTACAGTACCTGTACTGTAGGGCTTGCACAGCCACTGCTAATGGAAGCAGTGTCATAGCTGTGTAAAACGTCAGTGAGCAGTAGAGTGTGCAGGAGGGGGATCTTATTAAGGAGGAAGAGTGCACTTGCTTTAACGAGGCTGAATGCAGAAGGTGTGCTGCTGAGTAGACTGGCTGCAGAGGGCTCAGTTGATGGGATGGGTTTGCTGCTTGCTTTTAGCAGTTAAACTGCTTGTTTAATTAATGCACAGCACTGAACTTCGCTTTGTTCACATGTGAGTGATCTTGGTTGTATTTTAATGTCAAAGGACTGGATGAGCCATTAAGGCTTCATTGGCCCAGGAAAGCGTTTGAGAAACTGTGCATCCATCCAGCCCTGCTGCACAGCTGCTCTCATTTTCTAGTGCACTGATATGCAGCAAAATAAGGTTTCCTCTTAGGTCAGATGCAGTAGAGGGTGTGCTGGGAGGTGATGTCAGGTCCCTGATCTTCCACCTACAGAGGCTGTGGGCTGGGCAAACTGCATCTGAGCTGAATGCACACATAATGAGCAAATGACTTCACTGCTAAGTGTGCAAGTGGAACGAGGGGAAAAGTCAGCTTTATATTTGTCTTAGCTCAAATTAAAAAAGTAACGAATACAGAAAACTTATTTATAGTAGCACATGGAGTTTTTGCTGTGTTTTTTAGCATTTGGTAAGAATCTGTTTCAACTCTTCTTGGAACTGGTGGAAAGGTTCCTGCAGGCTTCAGTGGGAACTTTTCCTACACCGTGATACCAAATATCTTTTTTTCTTCAGTTATTTGAAAGTGGAGGTTTTGTCTTTGAGGCAGCTGACAGGGAGAGAGCAGTGGGGAGCACGACTTGTGTTCTTTTCATAGGATGAGGATATGCTTCATGTCTGTCTTTTATTTTCCCTCTGAAATGTGTAGGGAGGCCACAGGAAAAGCAAGTTGTGTATGTTGAACTTCCTCAGGGGAACAAGAGATATCTATGTAAAACAGCAGTGTGGAGGCATTCCTTAGTAATTGTTGTCTGAAACATGCAGAACAGAGAGATATGAGGTATTTCCTGGGGAGAGAAGTGATTCTGAAAAGCAGAAAGTTCATTATGGAGATGTATGTTGTGTACAGTTCAGCGTGATTAGTGCTGGAGTCAACAATCAGCCAAGTCCTGTATAAGAAGCAGTTTTCCAACAGTGTAAAAGAATGTCACAAGTATTCCTCAAGGATATGCGTACACATGAGTATGTATATATATCCATACAATCTTAAGCATGTACTTGATCATTTGTTTAATTTCAAGGCCACAAGGGAAGCTCCCTATTAACTCCAAGCCAGTTGGTAGAAAGTTGCTCTTTCAGGAGCAGTCAGATCGTTGTCCTGGACTTCAGCACTCTTCAAACTAGGTTTTCCAAAAGGACTTTCTCACTTAGGGTTGAAACAGCTGGCCTTGTGCAGCTACCCTGGGTATCCTTTCTGTGGAATTGATTCCTCCAAGCCATGTTGGCAGAGACGTTCAGACTCAGGCTATAGTGTTATGGTCCCATCTAAATGTTTCCATTGAGGTTTTTGCCTTTGCAATGGATAGTCCTTTCATATCCTCGCATGTGAGAGCAGTCCCTCCATCTTGCTTGAAGTCATAACAGAATTTCCACCAGACTTGGTTTCAGCAACATCATGCCCAGGTAGCAGAGGATCTTCCCGTTAAGCCAGAACAGGCTGTACTCACATTTACTGTACTTAATGGATGAGAGCTTTAAAATTGTGCAGCATATGATCTGTAGTTGGTGTTCTGTGCCACTTGTTAGGCAAGACGTGCAATGAATCATTGTGTCTCTGCGCATGTTGTATTATGCTTGAAGTCCCCCAGGCTGGTGTGTAAACCTGTACAAACTAAGAAGAGTGGCCTGCTGCTTCCTTTCCTTTGTTTCTCCTTCCTTTTTTTCTCTTGTGGGAGGTGAGGTGGGGGAAACGAAAAGTCTCTCAAGAATTGCTTCCTGCTGACTTCTGAAACGTTATCTGCAGAGACACTGGTTTCAGTACTTTAAGGAGCACTTAGGTCTTTCCCTAAACGAGTTAATTTTACATTACAGCAGCTGACTGAATGTACTTTTGAGTTGCTTGAAGCCTAGCAGGTTTGAACCGAATGGCTTTTCTCTATTAAATTTTAATCTATCAATGTCACTGCTTTCACGGGTAGCCTCCCATGCAGTGTAGTCTGTGTGTTCAGACTGGGAGCCCTTGCTGCATTAGCCACCGAGCTGTCTTAGCTCTTCCATGAGCATGAATTTATTTTTATTTTGTTTTCATTGTAGCTGCCCTTTTCTCTCTTTTGCTATCCAGTTAAGACATATTAATTTTTATATCTGAACTCAGAAGGAGCGATCTTTCCATCTGCTGAGAGATGCTGTTTTGGTGCATAAAAGGCAAAATACTTCAAAACAGTAAAATCATTAGTTGTATTTCTTTTCTGGACAATAGTTTTATACTCTAACTTTGTTCATAAAATGTGTGCACATGTGAAAAATCCCATTCCTGCTACCAAAGGTGAGATGTGTGTAGACAGCCCTGACCTGCAGACATGCCCACAGCACTAGGAGAGCTGCCCTCTGCAAACTGCAGCTCCTGTCCCCCCATAAGCAGAAACTCACTTGGAATTAAGCACTGGCAGCGGAGGCCTGAAATGAAGCACAGGCCGTTGATGGAAGGGACAGCTTGAAGCATCTGCAGGGATTTCTTTCTTCCTGCAGAAATGCTGAACTAAGGACTCTGCTATGGACATCTTCCTTGTACATCACGTCAAAGGCATGTGCAATATTTCTGCCTGTGTAAGGACAGTGAAGCCTATTGGATGTGAAGGATAGGACCATTCTGTTTTTATTGTGTGATACTTAATAGGCCCTTTAATAAGATTTATCTACATTTTTTCCTCTTCTGGATGTCCTGCATATTTGTGACTCAGCAGCTGTCCTTTCCTCCAACACATGCTTTCTTTTTCTTGTTTGTTTAGGGAACGTACTTTCTGTGTGCCTCCCCTTTATCCCAGAAACAGCACGCATCTTAATGTTAAATCTCTATCTCCTAAAAGCTTGTATTCCAAGATCTGTATGTGTTTGTGGAAAGATCAGTATGTTATTAGCCAAAGGTCAGCCCATTTATCATCTTAATACCATTCATTACTACAGTTCCATATGGCATGGGATTCTGGGAGGCCATTGCCCTTCTGATTCTTGCATAAGAGAGAGAATTCCTCATGTTATTAGATCTTATTTTTATACTGATGTGTATAGCTGGCTTTCTCCATTATAAATAACTTCAGTCCTCTCTTGCTCCACGTAGTTTTCTCAGTGTTTGTGACCTTCCGCCAAAGACAGGGAGCTTGAAAGATACTCATTTGGATCCAGGGATTGCCTTTTGGGGATGAGAGTTACTTCCAGCTGCTATGTCATCGTTATAAGCTAATAACAGTAACACTTTGTTACCAGCTCTTGCTTCAGACCCCTGCATGGACTGGGCTCTCCTTGGATGTAGCTCTCAGGCAGCACCATTGAGAACAGACACCATCACTGAGCATGTTTGTAGTTCTTGAGGTGCAAAAGTCACGTCCCTTAAACTGTTAGCGATGCCTAGCAGTTGCCAGCAGGCTCAGCAGATGGTGAAGGATTGATTGAGTGGGTGAAAACAAACTAACCCTTCATCTCTGGACACTGAAGAACAGGATGGCTGATTATTTCTTGTTTCGTTTGCAGATGCCTTGGCCATCTGGATAGACAGACACGTATGCCTTAATTTCAGAAGTAGATGACACTGCTGAGCCCTTGGGAGATGCATAGTTTCCTAGAAGCAGAAACCTGGTTTGAGGCTTGCCTCCAATGTCCATGCTGCAGCGTTCAAAACCTGTGACTCCCAGGTTCTTTGCTCTTCCTCTGGTTTTCATAAACTTTTCTTTGTGATCACCAGGGCTTTCATCCCTGTGAAAGAGGAGGCTGAGATGCTCACAGTTGCACAGCTTCAGGAACAAGAGAGGGGTCTGTCCAGTGTTACCACGCTTGGTCTAATTTGCAGAAGTCAACAGTAACACCCATATGGGTGAGCATTTTGGAAAAACCTACTGTAATAGCAAACGTCTATTTTGCCTTTTTTCTTCTTCTTTTGTAGCCACTATCTTGAAAGAGTCCTTAAATTGGCTGTTAATCCACACCTGGCAGAGAAAGGATTGACTGTAGAGTAATAAGTTGTGTTGCCTTGATAGTTTGCCTGTTCATGCTCTCTAACAAAACTCAGTGATGCTGAGATAAGGATATAAGATAAATAGGATTTAAAACTTCAGATTTGTATTCCAGTATTTTAGCATATAGACTATTAGCAAATTAGTTTCATTAGGTCCCTAAAATCTCAGGGATACATTCAGAAGATCAGAATTGATCCAGAATACTGAATTGAAATTTCATCTTGCAGCATGATAATGGGCAGCTTCTTTTTCCCCCCTTTAGAACTAGGGACAATAATCCTCATGGACAGTGTCTGTGGGATGGTTCATACGGTGAGAAATCCATTTAAAGACAGGGGAGTAAATACTCAAGGTAAGATGAAATATTGTGCTGAAAGTGTAGCAGACATTTTGAAAGATGAAGCTTCTGGGGTAAACAAGTTTGAGGTATCTCCATAATAAAGTGATTCCTAATTCATGTGCCTCTGGCACATACAGC